GGGGGGGGGGGGGGGGGGGGGGGGGGGGGGGGGGGGGGGGGGGGGGGGTGGGGGGGGGAGGGGGTGAATATGTAGAATCCGCGCGTATTAAAATACGTATTCATCACGGCAGGTCGTTCATCCTCTCCCATCTATGACACGACCACACAAGTCAATATGGTGGCGAGAGGGAGGGCGACAAGGACGAGTCGAGGAGAAGCACCTTAAATGCACACCCGGGCCTCGGCGACCTCTCGACGATGAAAGTCCGCTCGGATCGCGATCATCGGCGGTAGATGCCCCGCGTCACTTCAACTTCTCGGACTGGTCGTCACGCGTGCATCCGGAGATCTTCGATACTTGGCGTGTCTCGTTAACGGAGCCCTCCTCCTCAAATTTTAATGCCCCGCAATGTCGTTGGTCCCTTTCGTAAAGATATGTCGTCCCCGAGTTCTTGGAGAAGAATGATACACAGTTAACGAATTTTAAGCGGCAAAGAAGAAGTGGCCGCGTCTACAAATAACCACTGTCACAATAACTCAGGTTTACGCTCCCGTAAGGAGCCGTGAATAACCGTCCGATTGCTGCTGCTGATGTACTTGTGATAAAAGAAAAAAAACTGCTGACATAAGTGAGCGATATTTTGGCACGTGCGGCTCTGTGCGAATGTAATTGCCTGTTCGGCTCTTTTGCGATCGTTATTCAAAGGTATGTGGTTACGATAGTGCAATTTTAATAAATTATTATCGCGTACACTCGAGCGTGCTTAACTGTATTTACTCGAAACATTTTCGATGCAAAGTTATGTCATTTGAATAATAACTGGATATGTGAAGGCATACGACACCATGAAAATTATCATTAACCCTAGCATCGTTGAAATTAGTCAATTGTTTTTTTAGCGAGAAATTAAGTTATTTTACGTTTCAAGTTTTTTCTTTTTTTTTTCTTTTAAATTTGATTGAATCAGCCAGTGTTGTTGTTTTTCTAATTATCGGAATAATTTTGTGTCCCGATTGCCATAAATATATATATATATATATAGGCGAAATCAGAAGAATATGCCATTCTCAATATTTCACTACTTATCAAGCATAAATACAAATTCATAATCTTTCGTACATTTTGAAAACTTAATCTTTAATTCTTTTGCATTTAAAGGATCTTACAATTATCTATAAACTCTTTGCAAGTCGAATCGAATAAACAGGACAATTAATTATAATGTTTGCACACTAAGCACTATCGAAGTACATTTTTAATCAACATCCACGAGATCCAAAGGCAATTGACATTAGAAACTTACGTAGAATAAGAAAATTAGCGATTCCAAGCTACAATTTCCATATAATTATTACTTGGGTCACAAAGTTTGCATCATACATCATATTTCACGAGAGTCTTCGAGAGATATCCAGCTGTCACGAAGCAATACATGCACCAACGATTTAAAATGACAAATCGCTCGATCCAATGTTTCATTTGATTAAATTAAAAGCCTCAAGCTTGTCCGTAATCCCATCGGATCGACCTCATCTTCGATCGTGTGCACACAGGGTTGCTAAGGTATATAGAGCACGGATGCCGCGACATCGTATCGTGGGGTGCCGGTCTATTCGGCAGCGCAATAATATGCTAATTAGCATATTATGACGCATCGCAGGAATTATATCCTTCTCGCTCATCTTGCGCTAACAGTCAGCAAATGATTTCGATAAGCGGATCATGCGTGCGTTAAGCCTTCTCACCTTAGTTGAGCGAGGCAAGAGCAAGTGCACAAGCTCCGAGGGAATGAAAAAGATGAGCCGGGGATAGAGCCGAGGAGTGACGAAGAATGTCGGGAGGAACTCTTTTACCTTCGTTCCACCGATCATTCGGACATATCCGTGACGCTTTTCTCGATGATGACTGGTTTGGGGAGGTGGGATGGGATGGGGGATGGGGGATTGGGGGGGGGGAGCATTTGACGCGGAGGTGGAGCCAAGCGACTTACGCGCTATACGGTAGCGCGTATTATAAGTAGAGGGGATGCTGTGACGACCGACGGATTATAAATAAGATGTTAATGGATTGCGAGGAATCTTAATGGAAAACGCGGATAGACCTTTTTCACTTTGTGTAATTCGCCGGTATCACGCTCAGTTCGTATATCCGTTGACGTAGAGATGAAACGACACGATTGACTCCTGCAGTCCTTCGTGAAAAAGTGGATGTCATTGTCGTGCGAATACTTTGTTACGTCAATGTAAATCAATGGCAATTAAACTACGAGTCGCAAGATTTGTTTACCCAGTTATTACCGAACTATGTTAAGAAAATTTGAATGCATCTAATGTCCTGTGCCTTTGATATATTTGAATAAACGATTTATCAATATTTTCAAATTATAAGTTACCAAAGACTTGTAAATTCGGTCGAATTTTCTTGAATACACAACTTTTTACAACTTTACATGTATCTCGTTGCTATTGAATTAGATTGTGTCTTTGTCATTTAGAATTTTAGGCCTATATCAGGATATATCCTATAGCAGGAAGAACGGGACAGAAATGAATACAAGCGCGAGTTTTATAATTATATTGTGTTTGAATAACATACTTAATCTAACAAAAATAGACGTTGACGTCATACGGAATCTTTGTAGTATAAAAAATTGTTTTTAATATAAATTCTCAAATTAAAATTGAAGCCTCTTTCTTCATTGAAATTTGGTTGTTTACTGATAAAGCGAATATAGCTTTTTTCGGCGTATTTTTTTCGAGGCCACTCGTTACATAAAGTTTTATCGCAATAATAATAAAATTAACCGTAAAGTGTTTTTTTTAATATTAATTACTATCATGTTTTTATGTAAAATAATACAACGTCGAACACACTTTCGCACATTTTATTTAACTGCAAAAACATTATACATGTTTTTTACAAGTGCTTAAAAAAAAAAAAAAAAAAGAAAAAAGAAATTTATGCAAGCTTCATTCGTATATGAGTTGAATAAACTGTTTACCGTTCAATTGGCTTAGATATAAAATTAGTAGAATGGGTGGGCGAGACGTACATATTTCCTTTTCCTCCGGAATGTGAAGGCGGTCCCCGTACAAGTCGCCCGCTCAATCAGCAATTTTCTTAGTAATGGGCACTATTGTCGATATATGCATGTCCAACGATTCTGGAATCTCCATTACAAATTACAGTTGAGTTCCGCAGTCGGAATGACTGAGGCCATGCAAATATCGTCGACATCGTGCGTAAACTGACGTAATGTACGAAACGCAATACTCAATTCTGGTAAAGTAATAAGTATATTCCATAACAGATGATATTGGCTAATTTATATAAATAACAACATGAAGTTTATCATTAATAATAAATCTGTACGAATATATTTCATGAAAATCAGTATTTCGATCTATATTGACCAACGCAGTCAGTCAATTAAAGAAGAGAACACAAAATTCATATGTAATTAACGGAAAATCACAAGTATACAGTATTTAAATTGTCTTCAAAGACATTGCGATAAGAAAATAATTAATGAATATATTTTGCCTTTATGAATTGTCGCTTCTAAAAGCATTCCACCTGGAGCAATAATATTATAAATATGCTGAGGTACAACAAGAGATCGATTAAACGGGGGAAGCGTTCTACCGTCGCCCATGTCAGGATTTTGCATAATTGCATAGTTGCATACTCTTTCAAGACTTGCTGTAGATTATTTGATTTATAAGGTCAAGTATTAATTAAAAGGTCTAGGCAAAAGGTCTTGCAATTCTTTAAATACGATTTACGAATTAATATATACATAGGGATTCCATGACTCGTAGGATGATGAGAATGTGTTGAAACTGATAAATAATTACTAATGTCGCTAGCCATTCATTTAATTATAGTAAAGTTTCTTGAGGCGCAATCGTTTTTTTTTTTTTTTTTTTACTACTTTTGAGCCTTCGTGCAGCGGTCATTTGTAGATAAGTTCTTTGTTTTCTTAAATATTAACAACCAAATGTAATAAAATGAAATGATGACAATTTAGGCTAAGCCCCTCATGCTTTGGCATTAGCGATTTTATCCGTTTCTAAAATATTTATAATTAGCTCAATCCTATACATAATATTAGGAGCATAAATATTAGACGCGCGTGTTATTTGTGTTGGTAATTTAGAAATCTATATGCAAATAGCGAAAGATGGACTGTGTGAGAAAATCACTAGCCTTAGCGCACATGCGTTGCTGGGTAATATAATTGCATTGATATCCAACTCGATAATACCGTGATTGAGACTCCTCATTTTGGTTCAATCAAATATATTAATTAATTAAAAGCTAATTGCATACTGATAGTGGATTAAGCCTTTCGTTATTGGTTACTATTGTAAAATCTGCCATTATTTTGGGACCAGAGTACATTGGAACTACACATTGATTTGGTAATGAAGAAAATTAACAAGCTGTCTCAATCACTTAACGTTTATTCTTTATTTATTTATCAAGTTAAAAGGATTTTTATAATTTTTATAATGCGAAGATATAATTTTATAATGAACATAACATCGTATTATATATATATATATATATATATATATATATATGTATATATCCATGATGATGGTTACTGTTATGACGCAGAGATTATATTTCATTATATTAGGCATTTAAAATCATTAAATTCCTTGAAGCAAGGCGCATGGACATTTAATATCTCATTAAATATACGTAAACTACATAGTTAATGTTTAACTGATATCGGCTTATGATATTTACTGTACCAAGTGAATACTTTTAAGATATTTTTCGATTATCATTGAACACGATCATTATTGGAATTATTGGATGCCTCAAGATTATTATTTAACATGATTCTTTAATACTTACCTATAACGGAATTTTTCTCATTCTAATCAAATTCTATATATGAATCTATACATTACAACATTAGTTGTAATCAATATTAGCGTTATCTTAATTTTTTTTCCCCACATTTATAAACAATTTCCTTTAATTTCATGTAAATTTTTTACATATGTATCTATGTTTTTTGAAATTCACAAATTTATTATACTTTTCAAGTAAATATTGTAAGCGTAGTAAATACAATTTCATTAAAAGATTGCAACTTTCGTGAAATAATAAAAAGCTTAAAACATTAAATTTAGTTATTAAAATAACCTTTTATATTATATACATATTTATATATATATATATATATATATATATATGTAGCAATTTTTTATTTATCCGACGTATTATATAATTCACTATTTAACATTTTTGTAGTATTGTAAATTCTTTTATCGAATAATTTTTATTGGACGCATAAAAATAATTAAATTTGATATCGGTATCATACTACAGTTTTGAATGATTTTTTTATAAAGTAGAGTATTTAATTGGCCGATCATGCAATTAGTAGTCTCAAGTGAGGTGAACTTTAATGTTATATCATATGAAAATCTGAAGAAACGATAGACGATCGAATGTGATTACGGATTATTGCAATTAGTTTCATGTATGCGTATTGAAATTCTGTGATTAAAATACGCAGTTTCTTGTTTCAAATTGATTGAAATTATTTACTTGAGCGACAGGATTATAAAAAAAATGTGCTCTAAAGTTAAATTGAATATGTATGTGTGTGTTTGTTTGTTTGTGTGTGTGTGTGTGTGTGTGTGTGTGTGTGTGTAAATATTTGCTTCTATAGAAAATAAAATTGTGTGAAAATGAAAGAAATCATTAGCAGTCTTAAGTTGTAATTGAACATTAATTTATTAAAATGACTGACAGTTAGACCATCGATTTCGTTATTCTGAATATGCAATATACAAGTATGTAAATATAATTTCATTTATTTCAATTTAACTGCTAGTCATTAAAAGTATTTTTAATTGTAAATTAAAAAGTTTAATTAAAATTAAAATTTAATTTTGCAGTTGACGTTTAAATTTTGTAAACTTTATATTCAGTTACATTCACGAGTGCTTATAAATCAAATATGTTAAAACATTAATAAACCAAAATAGTTAATTAAAACTTTTAAATCAAGAGGATCGGGTGGTATCTTTAATCGCATAAGAAAAATTACTTTGTTTACTTATTCCTTGTTAATCACCGTCGATGTATTCTTTATTATGTATCGAATAAGCTTATATCGCCATGAAGCAGAGGCTCGCTCTTTCCGCACTATCTCTTTTTCATTTCGGTACAAGAATTCGAGTTGATAGGAAGTTGAGTTGTATAGTGCAAGATCCGTTGATGAATTCGATGGCACAGGTGAGCCTTTTCAGCGCACACTTTCACGGTTAAAAAGACGAAGAGCAGCGAGTTACCTCTTAGCAATCTGCTACTATACTCTACCGTGATATACTGAGCGCAATTTTTAATGATACAGACCTTTTTTACTTGGGTTGGTCGGACAAGATCAATCATGCATGTGACAGCACGACGGCCTAATAGAGTAGCCCTACGTATCTAGAAGCAGAAAACTTAAAAATGTTTAGGCCAATTCGATCACGGCAAGCTTTATTATACTTTTTTGATTTATCGTCGTTCAGATGGACGCGCAAAAAGACTGGAAAAGCAAAGTGACAAGCTTGTATTAAAATTGATCCCTTTGCGATGTCTTGTAACTGGAATTTTATATCTACAAGTAAGAACCTTTTACTTGCTAGTAATCTGCGAGTGCATTTTATCGGTCACGCATATTATTCAAGTTCTTTTGAACAAATTAAGTTTTTTTCCCACAAAGATCTGACATGTTTTTAATAAGTTTCTTTAGTCATTGCTTTTCAATCATATGGTTCATCTATAATATTTCATTAGGATTTAATGTATTATTTTTAGTATTAAAAGGTAATTCTATTACTATGAAAATATTATAATAATCAACATTAATTATAAAGATTTTTATCCGTGCTATACGAATTTTTTCATAGGAATTATTTTAAAGTATTTTTCGTCAGATTGGAAATACGTGGGAGCTTATATTCTGTATTTTCACTTGCATTTACTTGGCCATTAATAGTAGGTACAAGAAGATTAGGTGCATAATTTAATTTCGCAATACGTGTAACATTATTTACATTATATGCATATGTGTATTTATATATTATATATCTGTGTGTGTGTGCGTGCGTGCGTGCGTGCGTGCGTGTGCGTGTGCGTGTATACGTGTGTGTGCACTCGCGCGCGCTTATCAATACCTTTAGCTGATAGATACCAATATCTTTAATAATATTTTGCTTAACTCCTATAAAATGCTAGAGATTTCTTATTTTACAAGGTATTGAAGCAAAGTATATTTTAAATATCATATATCAAGCTAATATTAATTAGGCAATTAAAAAAATATAATAGACCGGTTTACAATGATTTTTTATTATTATTTTTTTTTTTTATAGAAAAATATATAATTTACGTATAATAAAATTAATTCTAATACTTTCATCCTAACATTTAATAGTTCATTCTCTCAACAAACAATTTTCATCATACATTCCACTCTTCATAATTAACTCTACATAAGGAATATTTTTCAAAATTGTTTCAAAACTTTACTTATTATGCCGATGAGTATTTATTTTAATATTTTGCATTGGTGATGTAGATGTTGCGTATATCAGTGCGCGATAAGCATGTTATTTCACTGTGGCATTCACATTTTCGAAGCGCCGATGCGTCATTGAGTCAATTTATCAGGC